TTTGGTGGTGGCTCTTGCTGGAAGAGCTCTAGAGCTGGTTCACTTGTCCCTCTGTGGAAAGGCTTTTCTTTGAGATGTCTCAGCTGCAGCTCAAGCCCCTGCTCAGAACATCCACCTTGTGATGCTGCAGGAGGCCTGGAGAATCAGATGCACTTCCTTGGAGAACAGCCAAAATACTCCAATCCTGTTTGGCAGAGGTGAGTGGAATTCCCTGTGTGTAGGAGAACACCCTGGGTGGGCCAGAGCTGTGAGCTGAGTCCATGTCCACGAATTCGTGCTGTGGTGGTGCTGAGTGCCTGCTCCCTCCATGGGAGTGACTCCCTGCACTCTCACACGAGTGGGAAGTGCCAGGGCCAATGGATTATTCACTTCATGCCATTTGCAGTGTCACAGAGCTTTTGTACCAGGTGTTATTTCAGAACAGCTCACCCTGCATGCTGAAACGACCCATTTCCCTTCACAGGTGAGACCTGAATGCACCAGCTGCATCTGCCAAGATGATCTTTGCAGCTCTTCTCCAAAACTCTGTGATAAACCACTTCTACCAGGGCTCTGCTCCCCTCTCTAATGCTCTGTACCCTGGGAGCTTGGTAAAACTCTGCCTTAGGGTAACATCTGCCATTAATTCTTGCAGGGAGCTGCAACAGGACAGCCAAGAGCTTCACTGCTCTCTCCCCTCGCTCAGCAACACCAACATCTCCCAACCAGCAGCATCTATTGCCTTTCCCACACCTACTCCCCTCTCTCCCATTTGCAGCCACAGCATTTCCATCCCTGCAGCTGGGCCAGCAACTTGGACAAATTCCCCTATGGAAAGGACTGAATGGAGTGGGAGCTGGTTTTATTCCTGTTGCCATTTCAGCACAATTTAGCAGCTGGAAATGAGAAAGAGAAGCTGGTGCCACATGACAACTTTCCACAGTCAGCATCCCTCTGTTTAAAGAAGCAGGAGTAATTTCAGCAAGCTGCAGATCCACAATACTTCAGCAAAGGTGGCAAATGGAGCCCCTTGACAAATACAAGGGTAAAAAACCTGAGGTTTCCTTGGGTATTGTGATTTAGTCACGCTGCTGGGAGCTCAGTTAATCAATCTCTTGCTGCTGTTCTTTGCCCATTGCTGCTTTTCCTCCAGTGGCTCCTTGTGGGTTGTGGATCTGAAGAAAGCCAAGCAGGATCCTCTGGGCTGAAGCCTCCTGGTCCCCAGGCTCCACCCTGCAGCTGCAGGTTGCAATTGGCCCCAGGCACAGCAAACCTGGAGTTTCTGTCAGCGTGTGGGGCCTTGTGCAAAGCTCAGGGCTGGCACCTCATGAAAAGCCAGCGGTGTGTGAAGAGCTCAGGCTCCTGCTGGTGCTGCTTGGCTGCAGACCCTGCTCAGCTGGCAGCTCCCAGGCCAGCACCTTCCAAAGGGCAGAAAGGCTGAACTCCAGTTCCCAGCCTGAGTGGGAGAAGCAGCAGCTTGGAGCATTTGCCAGCCCAAACACCTGCCATGGACTCACCCCCAGGGAGAGCCCAGCACTCCTGGCCCAACTCCAACCATGCAGCACCTCACCCTCACAGTGACCTGCAGCCAGCAGCCAGCTCTCCTCCAGGTGGTTCAGTGCCTCAGGGCCAGGGCTCTTGGCTCCAAGGGCACAAAAGCATTCTGGGGAGGGCTGATTTTGAGTTTTCTCCTCCCAAAGTTAAACCCTCTAGAATCTGTGAAAGAAACCAAGCATACAGGCCTAGCTGGCAGCTTCTCTGCTCTGCTCAGGACACTTCTGACAAAGCAGCCAGGGGTGTCTACCAACAACTCATCATGGGAGCAAATGCATCACATCAATCACAGCCACCCTCTGGCAATGAAATGCCAACATCTGCAATTGGCTTTAAATGTTTTCAGAATGCTCAGCAAGTTAAGAGAACTTTTGAGAGACCCTGTTTCTCCTTTATCAGTAAAAACAAGATATAGGGTTGGAACAAAAGCTCTGTGGGTCACAGCAACAAGTGATCTAAGTTACTGCTGGCTTAAACCTGTCTTGTGCACACTAAAATCCACCCCTGCAGAGGAATCCCTTCTCCTGAGCCTCTCCTGCCACGTGGCCTATCACATCCTGCACCAGGGAGGGCTGATCCCAGGCAAAAACCCCCAGGAGTTGGACTCAGTGATGCTGATGGGTCCCTTCCCACCCAGCATTTTCTAGGATTCTATGAAAAGACACTCCCACAGAACAAGATCTGCTCCTGGGCCTGAGGCTTTGTTGGAAAATAAGGTAAAAGCTGAACATGTTGACACAAGCAGAGAGCACAGCATCAAGGATCAGTGCATTTCCTGACTTCATTCCCAGAAATGGCTGATCCTGCTCTGAAAACCCTTTCCTAGAAAGAAACCAGCCTTAGGTGGACACCTGGCCTGAAAATGTGCTGTTTGGTGGCTTCAGGTTAGGGGGCATTCTCAGTAATAAAGAGGGATGTAAGCAATGCCTCTGCTCCTTGCCTGTGCTTGTGACAGTGCCCCAGCCTTGGGAAATGAAAGCTGCCAGCAGCAGAAATGGTTCTAATGCTGCTCTTCCATGCTGAGCAGTGATAACCCACTGCACACAAGATGTGTTTCAATAGGATCAAGAGTAGGAGAAAAAACCTCAGCATAACCTGCAGTATCCTTGGTGTAAACCTGCAGTATCCTTGGTGTAAACCTGCAGTATCCTTGGTGTAAACCTGCTGCCCTCCCTGCTCAGGCTTTGCTGCAACATTGGGCCAATGACCACAGCTCACCATTCCTCACTTACACAAAATGAGGCTCCTGCAAATTGCATTCCATGGGAACCTGCTTTAATTAATAATTCCCTTTTCTATTTCATATACCTTACAGGTTTTTTGTATTTTAACACCCTTCACAAGAAACTGGTTCCAAAGATTTTTCATAAGCCGTATCCTGAGGAGCCACAACCACCTGCAAAGCTGTTTTCCTTTCCTAGAAGGAAACTGGAAAGCAACTGGGTGCAGTAAATGCACGGCACAGAGCACAGGAGGAGCACAGGAAGGAGTCAGTTCTGCTCCTTGCAGTGACATGGGTGGGAAGCTGACACTTGAGGTGACACATCCACAGCTGGAGCCCTCAAGGCCTTGTGCATGAACTGCTCACAGCATCCAGTGTGCAGCTGAACTGATTTAACTTCAGAGAGCCCAAACCTGCCATGCTGCAAACCCAGCTTTGGGTAATTCTGAAAAACCCCTCATGAAAATCTCTGAGAATTCTCTTCCTGGCTTTGCAGGACACTAACAGGGTAAGTTCTCACCCCCTGGAAGGCATTAAAGGCTCTAACAAAAAGGGGAAAGACTTTCTCACCTCACCTGTACCCACCTGCTGGCAATTCCCATTCCCTCCAGGCAGTGCTTTTCCAACTCTTTCAGCCAGAAGGTTCCAGCTCCCCAGACAGATTCCCCAGCCCTGACACACTCAGGGATCCACAGGGCTGTTCAAAGGCTCTGCAGCAAGTCTGTCCTTTCCAATCCAAGGCAATGAGAGAGAAATCAGTCCTTGCACAGCTGTTCCACACTGACATTCCCAGCAGGCTGACACTGCCCACCCTGAGAGGAATTCCATCATTTGCCCACACCAACTTGGCAATATTTACCCTTATTTCCATACAAACCAGCATCCATTTAATTCAACTCTTTAACTGCTACAAACCACCATGTACTGCTCAAAAAAAGCTTTTTGGAAGAAGAGCACCCACACAGAGGTGTGACAGACACCCCTGGAGCCCTGCAGGGTGGGGGTTCCATGGGGACAGACCTTTTGGAGACCTGGAGAGCCCATCCAAACCTCTGGGCCCCACGGTGAGGCCAAGGCATCAATGGATGTGGTACAGGCAGATACATGAGCATACAGTAACGGTGAGAATATTTTTTCTTTTTTTTTCTTTTTTTTTAACAAAACATCAGAGAAAAGTGTTTTATTGTTACTAAAAAAAAAAAAAAATAACCAAACAATGCTCTAGTGTTTTAGGCCATGGATTCTCTAGCTCAGATTCATGGGGTGGAACATTACAGGGAAAGTGTCTCATGGACCTCTCCCCTCTGGCCACAACCAGGCACCTCCTCCCTTCCCCGTGGTGATCAAATCACATCCTCAGGCAAGTACAGCAATTGTTTACATGTAAAAGTAAGATTAGGAAAGTAATGTATTTGTAGGCTTTCTTCCCTTTTTTTTTTGTTTCTTTTTGTTGTTGTTTTTGTTTGTTTTTTGTTTTTTTTTAAAGAAGTGATTTAGCAGCTGGAAAGAAAAAGACAGCATCATGTGAGCAGTCAGTGCTGCAGACACCCCCAGCAAATGCTCCACAGGTTACTCACGGTCCATGGCCCACAGTTCACAAACCACATTGCAGAGTCCTTGCAGGCAGGTGATTCTCTCTGTGAGGTCTGGAGCAGCAGCCGGGTCCCTCTGGGCACGGGAAGGGCTCCCATGGCTGTGGCTGTGCCCGGGCAGTGCCGGGTGGGCAGTGCCAGGTGGGCAGTGCTGCTCCTCCATCCTGCACCCTCCTGCCGTGGGCTGTCGGATCTCGGCTCTCCCAGCTGCGGCCTCCAGAGCTGCCAGGGTCACAGTCCCACTGATCCAGGCACAGAGACCCAGCTGGGCTCGGGCACGTCCGCCCTGAGGTCACCATGTCCCAGCCTCGGGAGCCACCGCTCCCGCTCGGCCCCGCAGCCACCGGCTGCTCCTTGCCCAGGGGCCTTCTCGGCACAACAGCATCCCCTTGTTTTGTATTTTCCTTTTTATAAACAATTGCTCTCACCCTTCATTTTTGGTAGTCACACACAGACACACACTATATGTACACAATTTGGGCCCGAGGACCTACGGCATGCCAAGGAAGCCAGCACCGCTCAGGATGGTGCACACATTCAGCAGCTGTCAAAGGAGAAGTCGTTTTAATTTCTTTTAAACTTGCAATGTTTGTCTTTATTTTGTTCTTTATATTTTGAAAGTGAAAAGAAATAGTATTGAGTCAATTTCTTTCTTTTTTTTTTTTTTTTTTTTTTTAAATATTTGTTCTATGTATTTACAAGCCTTAAAGTTGCTCTAAAGGTTCTCAAAGTATCACTAGTACTTTTTTCCCCGGGGTAGCACGGTTTTCAATGAGTTATTTTCGGAGCACTCTGGTCCGCAGCGGTTTTCTCAAATGCATTTTTCTTCCGATCCAAGGTTATGTATGGTTTGATTACTATTTTCTTTTTAAATTTCTGAAGCAAGCTGAGAGGCAGGCAGAAAAATCTGATGACAATAAAAAAGAAAATTGATCTTGTCCTCATCTAGCTCACCCCAACCCCCTTCAAAGTTTTGTTGATTTATCATGCTTTGAAACAAAACTGAGGTGCGTATGAAGGGGAGGGAAATTTATTTCTTTGCTTTTGTTCTATTATACAATTTGTTTACAGAAACTGCAAATTTAAAAATTACACTGGCATTTGCAGTCCTTAAAATAATAAATTAAAAGTTTTCAACTTGTTTTTGCTAAACAGATTCGTTTTGCTGTGTGTTTTCCTAAGTATGAGTCCTTGTTTAAAAAGAAAAGAAAAAGATTAAAACAGAAAATATTTTCTATAAATAATACATGTATTTTGGTTTAGTGCTCCCGCCCTCAGGTTTGAAGTTTACTTTTTGTGGGTTTGTTTTCAAGTACCTTTTTGCCTCCATGATCACCTCGGTGTTTATCGGGTTTTACCTCTCCCACTCGTGCGTGTGTGGGGCAAGGGGGGTCTGCGAGAGAGAATTGGCCTTGCTGCACTGTGATTGGCGAAGACGTGAAACTTTTTAAAAAAATACTTAAATTGTTTCTTTTTTTTTTTTTGTTTGTTTGTTTTAAATCTGTATTTTTTTTTTTTTTTTTAAGTTTTAATTATCCTCTGACTCCTCTTCGGCCTCCCGTAGCCACGTGAAGAACGCCGTGACGGATTTGAGCGCTACTCCTTTCCCGTTCTGCTCCGCCGGGTCCTTGCTGCTCTCCCACTTGTAGAAGGCATCCTCCGAAATGACCTCCTCGTCATACAGGCAATCGAAAAACATCCGCAACAAATCTGCAGGAATGGGATAAAGGCACCAACATCTGTCAGCCCTGGCTGCACATAAAGGGATTAACGCGACCTCTTGGCACGGGAGATGATGGCAGAGACAAGGGAAGCACAGAGCTCTCACTCAGTTATTGCTCTGGCTGCTCACACTCAGGTGAGGGGGAAATCTGACCCCTTGACACTGTCAGAGGAGAGGGGAAGCTGGGAAAGCAGCTGTGGGAATCTGTTATCAATATGTTATCTAGAGACTGCCTGCAAGCAGGATCTCCTCTGCACCACATGGCTGGATTGCCTCCCACCCCAGGATTTTTGTGGCTCATCAGGAGAGATAATGCCCAACTAATGTCATCAAGGGCACTAAGGAGGATCATGCTGGATGTTTTGAGGCACTCCTGGATTTTGTGCTGCAGATTCCCTAGGAATCCCTGCTTCTTTGGCTACTCCCTTGTCTTTTGTCCCTCAAGGGTTTTCTGTAGCATCTCTGGGACAAAACTCATCATTTGACCAACTCATTTTATTCCCTCCAAGCCCACAGACATCTGTGGAGTAGCAATGCAGTAACAACACCAATGCTCTCACCTGCCCAGGTACTAAAAACTCTGCAGATTATTTTTTACTGCTCTTTTTTTGCTCTCTTTTTATCAACAGAGCTTTGTCCTTCCTTCTGTGTGGCTGCTCACAGAACAACCAGAAGAAGAGCCAGCCTCTGGCCAAGCATTTGGGAACTTGAGCTGCTCTAAAAATCTGGGATCTGGACAAGCTGAACCCACCCCCACCACCTTCTCTCATCAGCTACCTACAAAGGTAAGAAAAATACATCCTCATCCTCTTCCCATCTCCCACAGAACCCCCCTGCCCTTATCCAGGCTCAAATCCCCAGCACAGAGGCAACACTTACTAGGAGGTTGATCAAGTTTTACTATTGATGCTTGTAGTGCATAAAGTGCTTGTAGTTCCTTCTCTGTGTCTGAGTCCAGGTACTTGAGCAGGATGGGCACTCTCTGTTTGATAACAGCAGTGTCCACTCGGAAGCTGGAAGAGTCCGCTGGGGAGAGGAGGAGAGAGCAGGGTCAGCTTGGCCCATGGCAACAGGGACAGCTCTCTGACTGCCTTTACTAATGCAAACAGCAATCACAAACACAGTTTGGAGTGGAGAGAAAAGGAGGATGAGAAAAAACAGCAAGTAGTTTTGATTAATGGTTGTTTCTGGAAGTCTTGGTCCTTACAGCTCCCCACATTCACTGCCTGCAGTGACCCCAGCTCTAACACAAGCAGCAGCAGCACAGCCTCACTTTGCAGTGCAAATGGTGTCTGCAGAGGCAACTGCATTAAAAAGGTTTTCAGAAAATTCATTTTTTTTACTAAAAACACCAGAAACAGAAATCATAATTTATAATAAGGAAATTCCATAATAAGGAAATAGTGAATATATAAAAATATGCATTAGAAGTCCATCAGCCACAAGAATGAATAATTCAGCAGCTTTCAAGTAGATCATGCAACCCAATTAACTGATATTTTGAAAACAAAAGAAAAAAACTCTGTTAGAGACAAGCTCAAAATTTGAACCAGAGGATGATTTTCCTCACACAGCAGCCTTGGAAATGAAGTCCTGTGTCGTGTCTCTGTTAACACCAGGGGGCACGAGCAAGGCTCTGCTCCCAGAGAGAGGAAGGAGCTGCTCTGTCCCTCCCCTGCCTCTCATGGTGCAACCCAGCCTGTTCTCTCCCCTAAATCACAGCTCAGAGCAGAACCAGAGCCTTTACAAGCACCACTTTTGCTGTGCCAGATGCCAACAGTAAAGTTAAAGAAAACCAAGTGAACTGAGCAGATGTTTCTGCCTGCAGTGCTTTACTCAGCCACTGAGGGCTTGAGGCTCCTGTGTCTGGCTTGGGAGCCCTTCCTTCCCTGTGCTTCCAGCTGGAAAATGCACAGAAACCATCCTTCCAAAAGTGAAACTTTGGATATAAAACTCTCACAAGCCTGAGCCCCAGCCTGGCTTCTCCCCACACACCTCTGCTGACACAGGAGTGGAAATGTTCATTGCCTCAATGGTGATCTCATCATTTCCACCTTCATTAAGAAAATCAATGAACAACCTGGCATCACCCAGAGCTGTGTGAGACCCCTGCTCACACCAGGGGCACCTCAGGAACACCCTACCCAGCAAAGCACACCCAGCTGTCACATGGGGAAGGGACACCCTGCTCTCAGGCACAACCCCAAATGATGGAAAACGCTTTGTGTGTGACAAAACACAGCCTCGGCCAAGGAAATGTGATACAAACCTCAAAAACACCAAATAATTCTTTGCAGGTTTGGTTTGTGTGGTGTTCACACTGCAAGTTACTCACCTATAATAGCTGCTTTACAAACTGCTGTCATTAAAGCTCTAAGGAATGTAGGTGAACTCATCTGGCTTTCATCTAGATTAGCCTGCAATCAAGAGCAAATGGAGCAGTTAAAAACCCTGCAGGACTGCAAAGCTCCAGAGCTGAGCCTGGCAGCAAATCCAGGCTCAGCTGCTGCTGTGGCACAAACCCAGCTGAGCCCTGCAAGCCTCAGCTCCCACTCAGTCCCTGCAGCTCCCCAGGGACAGCAGCAGCAGGATCCCATCCCTTGGGACCCCTGTGCACTGAGCACCTCCCTCAAGGAGCTCTTTGTGTGCAGAACCAAACCCACCACGCTCCTGCAATGCCCTCACAACAGTCTCAAAGAGTTTTGGGCTTTTCCAACAAAGTTTACAGAGTGCTCCTTGGGTGGAGATTGTTTGCTTTGTAAAAGAAATTCAGGGAATGGCTGTGGAAAGTGTCCAAGCTCCAAAGAGCCTGTGGGTGATCCCAGATTTTCAGTGCTGCTTTCATTCCACTCTCAACTCCTCTAACAGCAGTGGAAAAATGACATTTCTAACACATTGCTCTGCCACAGAAATAACTGAACTGAAGCTGACTGAGGTTTAGTGCAAGCATAGATATAAATGCAGAGGTTGGGTATAATTACAGACAGTAAATATCTGAGTTAAAGGCAGCCAGACACTGAGAGCAAAGACCATGGCTTGATAGGCCTTTTCCTCTTTTTTATTTTCTTTATTTTTATTTTCTCTGTTCCAGTGCACTGGGAAAAGGTGCTCTCAGTGACTGCCCAGGATGTTTTACAGCAGGAAATTTGCAGAGGTCATGTTGGGAAAAATAGCAAGAATTTTATGAAGAAATGATGTAGCAGTGCACATCTAAAACATACTGAGTGGCAGAAGCAGGATATTCAGTGTCAGAAAATCTATAATATTTAAAAGGTTACACAGTTTATATGGCTAAAAGCCTTCCTTCCTGAAACTGACCCTTAAATACTGATTATATTTTAAATTTTAATTCTTTGGAAGTGTTGATTGCACAGACCAAATCCTTGCAGTGTCCCACACCCTGAGATGTTCAGGTCAGAACATATTTACAAAAGCAGTTTAAAGTCTGCAGGGAGGGTGAAAATCTCTTTGTACCTCTACCCAGTCAAAGATTTGTTCATCATTCGCCTTGTCCTCCACAATGAGTTTTTCCAGCTGCTTGTTCAGCTCTTCTGCAGACAGTTCTTTCTCTGAAAGTGCTTCTGAGGAACTGGAACAGTCAGACTCCGTGAACTCCAACTTCTGCAACACCACATGTGATGATGACAATTAGTGAAATGCGCTTTCCTAGGCTGAATTACACCAGATTGAAGCAGGAAATTCCATTTAATTCTGCTTCCTGGCATCTCTCAGCTGCTCAGTTATCGTTACAATATCAACTTGCCCTGTTCCAAAGGTTAGGAAGCATTTTACACATGGGAACTCAAGGAGGCACCTCAGGCAGCTCCAGCACAAAATCCAGTGTGCATTGCCTGGCTGGAGCTACAGGGGCTGGAATGCAACAAGCAGAGCTGGCACTGGCTCACAGGAATTGCAGCCAATGCCCCAATTCCTTGAGAACTGTGACAGAAGAGCTGCAGTCCCTCAGCAAGGCCCAGTCCATGGTAACAATTTAATTTCCTGCAGCACTTCCAAAGTGCCACAACAGGGCAGGGGATCAGTCAGAGCTCCAAAGGGAGGCAGTGACTCCCTGAGGAGCAGCACCAGCACGAGGGGAGGAGCCTCCATCAGTCCTGGCTCCCTCCAGGACCACAACCCAAGGTGGGATGAGTGAATAACTGCTACCATTAATTGTGGCCCTTCTGCAGATTGTCTGTCCTTGCTCTACAACTCATTATTGAATGTTTTTTCCCAGGACAGGCTTGTCCTCCCTGTGCTTCACATCGTGGTGCTGAAAGCATCTACCCCAACTTGGACACACTTCACCCCAAATTCCAACTGCACATAAGAACGGGATGGAAGAGGATGAACAAATGGGTTTGATCTGAACTCACCTGTTCCATGAGAAAGGTATGTACATCCTCCCCTTCGGGCAAGTAGTCCTTCCAACTGAGGCCAGACTCCCTCCATAAGGCTCCCACTTTCTTATGGCTCTGAAACACAAGAGTTTGTCCCTTTAAAGAGCTGAGGGACGCGCTGGCAGCTCCCAGGGGCCGGACGGTGCAGCTGTGTCAGGAGGAATAAAGGAACTTCAGCCACCCAACAAACACCCAGCAACGAGTGAGAACATCTGGAGAGCCCGTGCAGGAGGAACCACATGTGCTGCAGAGGAACCACATGTGCAGTCCCAGGAATGCACATCTGGTCAGGTGGGCAAGGCACGAGTGACACGGGGGGGTGGCGGCGAGCGCCGAGGTCACCCTGAGCAGTGACACTGGGACAGGGCACCTTCCACACCTGACTCAAACCCTTCTCCTAAATCATTCCATCACACACTCCCTTGCCTTGAGTAAGGCTCTGGCAATTTGCTCCTTTGAGAAAACTCCTCATTTACTCAGCTGTTTTCAGCCTCAAACTCAGGCACAGAATCCCAAATCCTCTCTTCAGTTCCTCGAGTTTCTGCAAACCTTGAGAGCAGTGCCCTTGAGCACAGACAGTTCAGCCTTTTGCAGCCTCTAATGTCACACTGACCTTTGAGCCTCCTGCCTCAGAGAGCACAGTTCTGACACACACAGTTCTGACAAGAATAAAAATGCTGAGCACAACCTGCTCTTTTCACCCAAATGCTTTGCCAAAGTTTCACCTTACAGCACCTGCTCACAGGAAATCACTGAGTAGCCTAAGCCAAGCTGAGAAATGCTGCCTGATTTTCAGTTTACAAAGCAGATTACAACTTTCAGTTTACAATAGAGGTTGTTAAGAGCCAACTGTGCATAGTTCCTGCTCTGATCCACCAAGATCTGGGTTAGATGGCTGATGTTACACTGAAATACCCGAGTCCAAGTCTTGGACTGGACAAGATCTGATCAGAAAGCTGTGGCAGAAACAGAGACCCAAGGCTGTGCTTCCACACCCAGAGCACAGCAGCTTTTCTTTCACAGAATAGTTAAAAAAAAAATGGAAGTTGACTGTCCAAACAAGCACAAGACTAAAATAAATAAATAAAAAGTCACTCTTTGCACTGTTGGACTGAAATGCTCCTGGAACATTCAACCTTACTTGAATGCATGCTTGAAAAAATAAAAAAACAACAAAAAAAAAGGCAAGTGAGGGATTTTACAGGGTTGGAAAATAGACACTATCCAAAGTGCAGGATTCAGCTGAATCACAAAAAAAAACAAAAAAAAAAAAAAAAAAAAAAAAAAAAAAAAGACAAAAAAATGGAGATGAATTATAGGGAAACCACCAAACTGGAGCTGTGAGGTGTGAAAGAGAGCTCTGGGAGTCCCGGGGTGAGGAGGTGTCACTACCCCAGTGCTGGGTGAACTCGAGAGTCGCAGCTTGAGTTTGGATAAGCACACAGCAGTCTGAGGCCATCGCAGCTTATCCGAACCCTGAGAACCTCTCCGGTCTGCAAGAACAGTTCTCTCGCAAGATTCCCGGCACTTGCTGCTTCTGCTCAGCCCAGAAATCCCTTGAGCATGTCCCTCTTGCAGTATTTCAGCACTCTTAGCTTCTGGGAAGAAGCCAGGTGCAAAGGTACCTGCAAAAGGGAAAAGTGATGAGAAAACAAAAAGTTAACTCAACTTTTTGGAACCTCCTAAGGCTTGCTTGGAAACTGGGGGTGCGAGGCAGAGTTCCTAAGTTAGCTGGACTGGCTGGCCCATCCCTACATGTCCTCAGGTGGGAATGGTGAAGGTTTCATGCATGAACACGAGCGCTGCATCCACTCCTCCCTCAGGAGGACACAGCACCAGGCACTCACCATTTGTTTGCATAGAAGGTGCAAGATTTCAGCAAGCAAGACGCCGGCTCTTCCCACAGGAAGCAAGGGTTTGCTAAATTCTCTAGAATGAAAGAAAAACAGGTGTTTTGCTGTTATAATTTGGGATTTCTGGTATAATTTTGGGATGCAAATCCAGAAAACCAGTGACCAAACTGAGGCAGGAAATCCAGTGACCAAACTGAAGCAGGAAATCATCTTTAACTTCTGCCACGGAGGAAGGATTTGATTAATCCAGCACTGCTGATAAAACATTTAGTGATGCAGTGACCTTGTCACTACAGGGCTAATTACAAAGTCTTGAATTTTACATCGAAAAATATTTTATATTTATGTCAAATCCACTCATTTTTGTGGGATGCTACACTTGGGTAGAGGGAAAAGACTGCTATTTTCTTAATATACTGGAAATAGAAATAGGAACCATTGAACTGGTTCACAGTTAATCCCCAAATATGTAAGGACATACAGAAAACACAGGAATTCTGCTCCAGGAAATGGTTTCTGGTCTTGCAGACAAGTTTTTGTGCCCATTAAGGCAGTGCCCAGGTGGGATCCCATAGTTGGGGCAGGGACACCTTCCACTGTCCCAGGCTGCCCCAAACCCACCCAGCCTGGCCCTGAACCCCTCCAGGGATGGGGCAAACTCTGCCAGGGCCTCCTCATCCTCACAGAGGGGAATTTATTCCAACATCCCAGCCAGCCCAGCTCTCCTTCAGTTACCCTCTGACCCTCTGCAAGGCCAATTCCCAGAGCCTCTGTGCTCCCAAATCATCCCCCTCTACAGCACTGGGGTATTTTTAGCTGGAACAACAGCAGATTTATGGATAAATCCTTCTCCAAGGGTGAAAGCACCAAGCTCCCTTCCCAGCAGAGCTCTCAGGCTGGTGTGGGCTCCCAAGGATGTGAAAGAGCTCTCCTGAGCCTCCAGCACTGATGGAAATCATACAGAGAAATCACTTCAGGCATCACTTACTGTATAAGTTCTCTCATAGAGATTCCTCCTTCTTTTAACATGGGGGTCACCAACTCAGCCAGGTACAGCCAGATATGGGGTATATCTATGGCCATGTCATCTGCCATCTCCAGGGTCTCAGAGAAACTTCAGAAAGAGGAAAAAAACATCAAGTGTTAAATCAAATTTCATTGGAGACATTTCCTTCAAAGAAGGAAATGTGCTTTAAAAATATTTTTTAACATAAGAGGAGTGAAGAGAGAGAGGAGGGAGGAGAATCACAAAGATAACAAAAAACCTATTGACATTTTATGCCTTTGGTGCTTCCAAACTGCCAAGACTGAATTTCTCCATGCAGTAACAAGGAGAATATGTGGAAAAGACACCACATTTTGTAGATCCAACAGATACATCCAGGAAACCACCAGTTATAATAATTTCTATATCCAGTACCAAATCACTTGCTAAACAGTAACACCTATAAAACTAAAAAGCTTTCTTGTCTGTGTATAAAAACCATGAAGTAAATAAAACCTTCTTAAAAATATCCAAACATTTAGAGAAGGGGGTGAATCCTAACAGAATTCCAAGTGTAAGGTAAGCAGTGAAAAGTCTGTAAGAGCTCAGTTCAGCAGAGTTTCTATCTGCAGCAGGAATTATAGGGCTGCTCCCCAGTGATAAACCTTCCAGAATGGCTCAAAACCCTTCTTTCCCATTTAACCCTTGCAGGTGGCTTCACTTCCCATGCCTGGGAGATGGCAATTTTTCTGCTCTCCTGCCAGTTTCTATCATGGTTTGCTTCTCCCTGAAAACCTTGAGAAGCCCAGTGTCCTGCTAAGTGACCATAAATCCACATTTTTTCTCATGTTTCAAGCCAGGAACCATTTCCTTTGTTTTATTCTTTGCAACCTCTGCTGCTCCTCCAGCCTTTCTGGCAGAAATTATTTTCCTGTTGTGCATCTCCCCAGCCATAGGCTGGGACCAGTGCTCACCCTGTGATCCCTCCTTACACGGTCACTTCTCCTGTGTCAGCAGTTTCTGGTGCTCTCCTCACACCCTCTGAACACCACTTGCCCTTTCCATCATCTTTCACATTGTTTATGTCACATTCAGAGCACAGACCCCAACATTTCATCAAGACCCACTTATCCAAACTCCAGGAAGCTCAGGAACAGCTTTCATCAGAATAAATTTTGGATGTGTGTCACCTCAAATGAGTCCCTCTGGCCATCAGTGCTGTGTGGACACAGAGTATTCCCTGTGGATTTAGATTTTTTCAGTAGTTCCATATGGTTTTGAACTTTGGCTGCCAAAACCTTTCCTGTGAGCTGGATGAAGCTCAGGGGCAGACAAAGGTGCAGGGAGTTTCCTGTTGGAATGATCAGTGGTACCACAATGACAAAAACTCAGATTAAAGCCAGACAGAGCCAACTCCTCAGCAACTCAGAATATTTCATCTACTCCTTCACTGCTGAATTTGTGTTTTATTCCTGTTTTATCCCTCCTGTTCTTCACCCCAGTGAGGACTGAGAACCACCAGGGACCTCCATGGGAGCAGGGATTGTTTTAGGACTGCACAGCAGGCTGGGAACACAAATCTGAGGGAGCTGAAATGAGCCAGCAGCCAAAACTCTGTCCCTTGGCAGGTCCAACCCCTCTGCTGTGTGTTCTCCTTCTCAACCCCTCAAGCTGAGCTGTCCTGGGAAATGGCAGGGTGTGGGTGAAGCCTTCATCCCAGTGGGACAGTGCCTGTTGTGTGAAGGATTCTGATTTCCTCCTCTTCCACTTACACTCAGGGATTTGCAAAAGTCAAACAGGGAGAAATGCAGCACAAACAGGGATCTGAGCACACACATTTAAACAGACACCTACAGATCTGCTTCAAAATGCAAGCTGATATAAATATGAACATATTTATGTTCACTAAGGCATCTGAAACACTTTAAAATATATTACAGCAATAATATTCCTTATAAATACACCCAAATCACACAATCTTCCATAAGAATGTGTGGAGAGGGCAGGGTACCAAAACAAGGTGGGAGATCATTTCTCTGCAGCACAGCATCCATGTGCAAGGAACACTGCAGAAAAGAATCTGTGCATTCTCTGAGCTGAATACCAACCCCTTGAAGAACTCCTGCTTGCTCAGCTTTCCTGAGTGCACCAGCTGATGTAACAACTGGCCCATGTGATCCCTGGTGATCTGGCTCCGCTCCAGCGTGGACTCCACGCCCACACGCACGAACACGGGCAGCAGGCTCTGGGCACTGAGCTCCTCCACACACTGCATGGCCTCCTGTGGAACAGCACAGAGTCACCCTCCTCTGAGAGCAGCAAACCAAACCACCCTCCTCTGAAAGCAGCAAACCACCCTCTGAACAGCAGCACACACACCCTCCACTGAAAGCAGCAAACCAAACCACCCTCCTCTGAAAGCAGCAAAGCAGCAAACACCCTCCTCTGAAAGCAGCAAAGCAGCAAACACCCTCCTCTGAAAGCAGCAAACCACCCTCTGAACAGCAGCACACACACCCTCCACTGAAAGCAGCAAACCAAACCACCCTCCTCTGAAAGCAGCAAAGCAGCAAACACCCTCCTATGAAAGCAGCAAACCAAACCACCCTCCTCTGAAAGCAGCACACACACCTTCCCCTGAAAGCAGCACACACACCTTCCTCTGAAAGCAGCAAACACGTGGCACAAGAGCATTTCCTACTGTAACACCAGGGATTTTTGGTGAAATGAGGATTTAGTGAGGCTGCCATGCAAAGTGGTTCCTAACTCAGTGAGGTTCCACAGCCTCACTGAATTAGGCTGTGGAACCTCATCACGTAATAATAACAAAACCAACAGTAACAGCAATAATGGAATTTATACCACTCAGCTAACAAATCACATTCCAGGGCTGCTTGGATGGCAGGAGTTCTCTTCTGGATGCCACCAAAACACTGATTACTACATCAAACATCAAGTCAAAAAAAGGGTATCAGATCAGATTTGTCGCTGATCTGAACTGGCACAAATGCCTGTGTTACAAACCCACAGCCCATCAAGGAGCAGAAAATAGCTGGGGAGCACTTGGAGAAGATTTAGCTTTTTCTAAAGCTCCCACTTTCTGACTTGAGCATTTTGCAACCTACACAAAGAAACACTCAGAGACTTTAAGAGCAGCTCTCAAAGTCCTACATCAAAAATCTCCATTACCATCACAAGGAGCTTCCAGTGACCTTCTGGGTGCAGCCCAGAGATCTCAGTGGCCTTCCTGCTTCCTTAAGCAGTCAGAGCTTTGCTGCACCTGAGGGCACCAAGAATCCCCCAGGAATTCCTGATGCAAACAAACTGCCTGACTCCATGGACTTTGAACCAGCCCTGCCCTGCCCAATGCAATTCAGCTCCACTTCCAGCAGGCCACAGAAATGCAGAAATACCCAAATTGCTGCATTTGCAAACAGAGACATGAAGAGGCCTCTTCATCACAGGCATCCAGGGCAGCCTTTGGAGCCCATCATGAGCAGGAAAGGAGCAGAGACTCCTTGGCTCAGCAGCCCCTGGGTCCCAGGCCAGCTCACTGCCAATCACAGCAAGGTTCTTCCTCTCCAAACCAAGTATTTAATAATTTATCCCATTAACTAGATGTGAACTCTGAACAATCCATCATGAGAATATTCCTCTTTCCAATTATTAATTGGAAGTCCAATGAAATGGAAGCAACAACTCTGCTTTAAAGGTGCCAAACCAGCAACTCCCAAGTGCTGCCATTTCAAACTTGGCAGGTTTTAAAATTTATTTCAGTGAAAGATCAAATGAAGCAGCCTTGCAGCCAATGTAACACTTCTTGCAAACTCCCTGGACGAGCTAAAAATCCCATTTACAAGGGAAACAAAATTTCAACCTTTTAACTAGGAAGTGATGACAGCTGCTCAGTAATTTCCAATGTTTATTAAAAATCCTCTGGAGTGGTTTGTTCAATATTTAGTATTGCTTTATCTGCCTCCAGATCAGAACAGCACATGCTTTGATAACTAAATGAAAACCTCTGTTTATTTTCCCACTAGCTTTTCTGCTTCCAAAATTGCTGGTATTATGGAGCTGCTCAGTGATTCATGACAGATACACATCCATCCTGCTACTTAAAACACACAGCCTGGGCTGCTCTTCCTATTTCCAGCAGGGCACAAAACAAGCCTGGGAGACAGACAAGTGTCCTGAGAGTGCCCCTGGAGCTGCTGCTGGTTCTGTCTGAGGGCTGGGTGCTCACAGAGACACATCCTGGGCAGAAACCACTGCAGCCCCTCAGAGCTGTCTGTTAAGTGAGGTCTCCATCTTGCTTACCTTAAAATCATTAATATGCAAGAACTCATCAATGATAGATTTGCATTTTCTCTCTATTTCCTCTTCTGATAGTGAAGGCTTTTCTTGCACTGGAGCTGGGGGAACTTCTGGCTTGGCTGGTGGAAATACAACAACAAAAAAAATGTTTGGAAAAGGAAAATCAGCATTTCAGAGATGACATTCTGAGAACAGAAGTCACTAGGGCAGGTGTGTCCCCTGTCCCATGCTCAGGTTCTCTGATGGGGCTTGGAGCAACCTGGGATAGGTGAAAGCTGTCCCTGCCCAGGGGGGTGGAACTGGATGAGCTTTAAGGTTCTATTCAACTCAAACCATTCTGGGATTCTGGGATTCTTTCCTGGCTACTTTCCCCCCATGTGAACTCCCAGTATTTCTGTAAGTTGACCTTGCAGGATCACAGCTGGCACAGGTCAAACACCTTCAAAGCTCAGCACGAACATTAAATAATTAAATGGGAGCTGCTGCAGCAAAGTTAAAATGTGCTGACTGAGATGGGCAGCAGCCCAAGGCAATCTCCCAAACACATCCCCAAACCCCATGGAGTGTCTAGAACATCCCAAAGCTTCAGGACAAGCCTGTGCTGTGGCAGCTGAGGAGTTTCCCTCACTGCAGCAGTTTCCAGATGTTTCCCAGGGAAGGAGCTGAGTGCTGTTCTTACTGTAAAGGTTCTGCCCCCTTAAGTGTCCACATTTTCCAACTAACAGAGCAGCCCAGGCTGGCAGGAGGGAAAAGCAGGAGCTGCAGGGCTGACAAGGTGACAGACAGGTCACCCTGGTGGGTGCCACCCTCCTGCTGCACCAGGGCTGGCAACAACACAGTGCTAAAAAGCTGCTTTGCACCATCTGACCCAAATCCCTGCCCTGGGGAATGCTTGAAAAGGGCAGATATGGCATTCCTGAAGAGCTGACACTGATTTGGGGACAGTGACAGGATCAAACAGGGCAGCCAATGCCATGGGTGGTGCTGTGCTGGCACCTGCAGCCCCTCAGCCCCACTGGATCCCACAGAGGAGCTGCAGAGAGGGATAAAGGCTCAGGCCTGCCTGGCTCAGCTGGGTCACCCAGCCCTGGGAGGTGCATCTGTCACTGCCCTGCACAGACAGACACCTGTCCCTGCTCCTGACAGCTTCTCCTTGTGCCATCCCACACATCCAGAGGAGCCCTCACCAGGTTCCTTGGCTTTGCTCCTCTCGGCCTCGGTGCTGTTCCTGTCCATCTCCATGGCTCCTGTCAGCTGCTTCACCGTCTCCAGCATCTCCCTGCGCTGCTCCTCCTGGGCCTGGTTGTCCAGCAGCAGCTCCTTGCTGCTGCTGCCCCTCAGGAAGGTGTTGGGCCGGGCCAGGGAGGGGGGCAGAGCTTTGTCGTTCTTCTCCCTGCCCGTGCTCCCGCGACTGCCAAACCAAAACACAAAATCCAGCTCAGGGCTGAGGAGAGGGACTCCAGGGCATCACTGCAGGGAAAAACAGCCCCCAAGCCCTGCAGGATTGCTGGCTCTGTTTCTACAGAGAATTTGCAGGATTGCTGGATTGTT